AAGCTTTGCGTGTGCCCATGAAACAGCCCATGAGCGCCAGCACACACACATATCATGTAACTCTCGACATGCGGAAGTGTTTCTCTATATGTTTTCATGGAAGTTGTTCACAATATTGATCCATCCACAGAGTTTGTAATTGTCAAATGTTTACAAATACAAGCGCAGCCGTTTAGAGCTCATTTCTGGTTAATGATGTCAGAATTTACTGTATTTTGCGATGGATGTGTGAATGCTCTTTCCCGGAAAAATTCCGTAACGTCCTCGCCTGTGTGAACAGCTCTTTTTTAAATTTACCGGTAAAGTCGTTCCGGAAATTTTCCATATATTTACCGGTATCACTGTGTGAAAGGGGCTGTTGTTTTATCCCTTCTCTAACGTTCTCAGTACAAATAAACGACTCCCAACATTCAAAATGCAAAAAACTATAAGATAAAAATGCTTCTGAAAACATTACATCAATGACAAATAACGTTCTGTTAATGTTACTGGAAGAACAAATGTTTATAACTTTGACAAAACTTTTCTTGAGCGTTCCCTGATAGCTTGAAAACTGTTTAACAGCACAACAAGAGTATATACTGTTGTTCAAACTCAAGGACATCTATAACGGTTCAAACCTTTAAACCTCTCAATTACCAGCCAATTTATTACACTGCACGCTCAGCATTTTAAAAAAGTAGCAGCATTAAAAATAACTTTTAAATTAAAATTTTTCTGAAAAACATTCCATAAATGACAAATAAACGTTCTGTTTAACAGATCAGAAAGAGTAAATACTGTTGAAAATATGCTCAAACTCAAGAACGTCTATAAGGGTTTGAACCTACAGACCTCTCAGCTACCAGTCAACCTATAACACTGCACACACAACTTTGTGAAGAATAAGACAAAAAGCACTTGGGTTTACCCACCAGCTGCTTTAAATGACATTTCAGCTACTATTTAGTGTAATGAGCGCTGGACTGAAGGGATGTCCATGCATGCGTAAAAAGCTGCTCGAATTGTTCAGTTGAAAAACTTCCTACTTTTCTAAATCAGCACAAACAAGCAACTAATGTTAACCAAGCTAAGAAAACCTTGTAGGTCACACTTTATTTTGATGGTCTGTTTGTTGAATTTAAGTTACATGTCAACTAATTCTCATAACTGCAGGTTGGGGTTAGGGTAAGTTAACATGTGCTTGCAAAGTTTCCTATAGTCTATTAAATGTCTGTTGAAGGAGCAGTATCAACAGATAAAGCAGACAGTCTACTAATACGCAGTGTTGCCACATTGTATGTTAATGTTCCCAAAATTTTTGAACATATAAACAAGGCACAACATTCCAAAAGCAAAAAAACTTTAGAATAAAAATTGCTCTGAAAACATTCCATAAATGACAAATAAACGTTCTGTTAATGTTACTGGAAGAACATTTGCTTATAACTTTAACAAAACCTAATGTTCCCTGCTCGCTATAATCTGTTTAATGTGTCGAGTAAAACTAAAAACAGGACATCTATAAGGGTTTGAAGCTACAAACCTTTCAATTACCAGCCAACCTAATACACAAGCGCAGCATTGTAAAGAGGTTTGCCAATCAGCTGCCATAAACAACATTTCAGCTACTATTCAGTGTAATGTGTGCTGGACTGAAGGGCTGTCCATGCATGCGTAAAGAGCTGCTTGATTTGTTCAGTTGACAAACTTCCTAATTTTCTAAATCAGCACAATGAAACAACTTATCTTAACCAAGCTAAGAAAACATTGTAGGTCACACTTTATTTTGATGGTCTGTTTGTTGAGTTTAAGTTACATTGCAACTAATTCTCATTAGATTATAAGTAGACTGTTAGGTTGAGGTTAGTGTGAGTTGACAAGTACTTGCAAAGTTTCTTATAGTCTGTTAAATGTCTGTTGAAGGAGCAGTATCAACAGATATCAAGCAGACAGTCTACTAATACGCAGTGTTGCCATATTGTATGTTAATGTTCATAAAATTTTTGAACGTCTAAACAAGTCACAACGTTCTGTTAATGTTACTATAAGAACATTTGCTTGTAACTTTGACAAAGCCTTGCTTAATGTTCCCTGCTCGCTATAATCTGTTTAATGTGTCGAGTAAAACCAAAAACAGGACATCTATAAGGGTTTGAAGCTACAAACCTCTCAATTACCAGCCAACCTAATACACAAGCGCAGCATTGTAAAGAGTAAGACTAAGGTTTACCAATCAGCTGCCATAAACAACATTTCAGCTACAATTTGGTGTAATGAGCGCTGGACTGTATGGCTGTCCATGCATGCAAAGAGCTGCTCGATTTATTCAGTTGAAAAACTTCCTACTTTTCTAAATCAGCACAAACAAGCAACTTAGGTGATCCATGCTTTTATTTTGGGAAGACTTGACTATTGCAATTCTCTGTATGTGGGTATTAGTCAAAATTCCCTAAACAGATTGCAATTAGTACAAAATGCAGCTGCGAGACTTCTGACAGGGACTCGCAAGTTTGAGCACATATCCCCAGTTCTTTCCTCTCTGGGCTGGCTGCCTGTTAGGTCACGGATTGATTTTAAACTATTAATCTTTGTTTTTAAATCCTTAAACAATCTGGCACCATCATACTTATCAGACCTGCTACACGTATACAATCCTGGTAGGTCACTGAGGTCTTCTGATGAATTTATTCTATCTGTACCAAGGTCCAGGTGTAAGCGAAGTGGGGATCGGGCTTTTGCTGTTGTCGCCCCAAAACTCTGGAACGGGCTTCCGCCCCACATCAGACATGCTCCAACTCTACCTGTTTTTAAAAAGCGTTTGAAACACCATCTTTGTTCTTTAGTATTTGAGCCTTTTTAATGTTGAGGGATTTGCCTTATGTTTTAATTGTTATTTATGTGATGTAGATTTCATGTTTAGTATTGATTGTGTTCAGCACTTTGGGCAACGTTGTGTTGTAAAAAATGTGCTATATAAATAAACTAAACTTATCTTAACCAAGCAAAGAAAACCTTGTAGGTCACACTTTATTTTGATGGTCTGTTTGTTGAATTTAAGTTACATGTCAACTAATTCTCATTACTGCAGGTTGAGGTTAGTGTAAGTTAATATGTGCTTGCAAAGTTTCTTATAGTCTATTAAATGTCTGTTGAAGGAGCAGTATCAACAGATATTAAGCAGACAGTCTACTAATACGCAGTGTTGCCACTGTATGTTAATGTTCCCAAAATTTTTGAACATATAAACAAAGCACAACATTCCAAAAGCAAAAAAACTTTAGAATAAAAATGCCTCTAAAAACATTCCATAAATGACAAATAAACGTTCTGTTAATGTTACTGGAAGAACATTTGCTTATAACTTTAACAAAACCTAACCTTCCCTGCTCGCTATAATCTGTTTAATGTGTCAAGTAAAACTAAAAACAGGACATCTATAAGGGTTTGAAGCTACAAACCACTCAATTACCAGCCAACCTAATACACAAGCGCAGCATTGTAAAGAGTAAGACTAAGGTTTACCAATCAGCTGCCATAAACAACATTTCAGCTACTATTTGGTGTAATGAGCGCTGGACTGAAGGGCTGTCCATGCATGCAAAGAGCTGCTCGATTTATTATAAAAAAATCTTAATTTTCAAAATCAGCATAATTAAAGAATTTATCTTAACCCAGATAAGAAGACATCATACATTTATAATCCCAAAACATTCAGAAGGTCAATTTAAGAAAAATGTTTCATAAACGTTTACTCAAATGTTGTTTGATCACTTTGCTATCATTACAGGTCTGTTCGCTGAACGTTTAAACAACTCACAACATTCCAAAAGCAAAGAAAACTTGATTCCAAAAACAATACATAAATGATCAATAAATGTTCTGTTAATGTTACGGCAAGAACAAATCCTTGCTTAATGTTCCCTGCAAGTTCAAAACAGTTTAATAAGTCGATTAAAACTAAACAAGGACATCTATATGAGGGTTTGAACCTACAAACCTCTCAATTACCAGCCAACCTTATACACACGCAGAGCATAAAGAATAAGACACTTGGATTTACCAATCAGCTGCTTTAAACCACACACCATCTATCTTGTTAGAAGCACATGAAATGAGCGCTGGACTGAGGAGCTGTCCACGCGTGCAGAGGTGCTGAATGGTCACTCACCCGCGCGTATTTGGACGAGTATGGGTCCTCGAAAAGCGCCCAGATCCGCGGGCGCCACACGCGCCACCAGCCCGCTTTCCTGCCGTCCTCCTGCAGGCACAGCCGCTTCAGGTCTCCGTCTCCTGCGAGCGCCGGGTCGTCGTCCGGCACCTCCGGCTCGGGTGTCTCAAAGCTGTCCAGCGCCTCCTCCGCGTCCCGGTGCTGCCGGTAGTTCATCCAGCAGCACGCCTCCACGTCGGTCTCGTCGATGCCCCAAAAAGCGAGCTCCTCCTCGAACAGCGGGCCGCACACGTCGTTGGGGCAGTGCAACTTCCCCGTCCGGTAGTAGTTGAGGATGAACGAGAACACAGACGGGTGCCGGTCGAAGAAAAACTCGTCGGACTTCGGGTCATAGTCGAAGTTGCTGAAGGCGTCCGGTTCAGTGAGCCACGAAAGCCGCGTACCGGGGAGCGTCTTCAGGGTGCTCCGGTACGTCTCGTGCCGCACGCCGCCGCAGTTGATGACGATTTTCTCGCTTTCCGACGGGCAAGTCATGTCGGCGCTGTAACATGCTTTGTTGGACGACTTGTTCCCACCCTTGCGCCCTTTGAATGAGGAGACACACACCGAACTGAGCATAGGGGAGGGAGAGGAGGAGAAAAAACGGAGAGGGGAGGAGAGAGGAGCGGTCTGCGGGGGGGACAGGAGGAGGGAGGGAGAGAGAGAGAGATGGGGAGATGGTTAGTAGAGGTACAACATGGAGGGGATCTTGCACACATCATATTGGGGTCCCGTTATTCATATCACAAAATACTGCAGTGATATGAAGGTTGCATATGACCTTGTGTGTGTGTATTTTGGACAAACTTGCGTCGTGTGTGCTTGATGCATGGAGCTTTATGACATTCCAATGCATGCATACATGCCAAACACTCTTAAACATAAACGGTTCCATTTCAGAATGTTTGGAATCTTAGATTTGCAATCCATGTCAAGCACATATAAAGGATACATTTTAGAATTTCTGGATCCTCTCAGTAAACAGCTCTAGAAAAATCACTTTAAACATTTGAGACCCGCAACCACAAAGCCAGTCATATTTAGCTGAGATATTAGGAAAATCTGGAATTTAAGTGTTTGAAAAACGAAACATTGAAAAAAAAGATTTCTTTACATTTTTATTTGAAGTGCTAAGCAATGCACATTATAATAAAAATATAATTTAAAAAGTAATTAAAGTAGGTAATGTACAAAATATCGTAAATGGGACGTGGTCTTTATTTATTTTTCTAATTACTTTTGGCATAAATGAAACATCCAGAATTTCAACTCATACACTTAATTTTTGGTTATAAACACAAGACTGGCTTTGTGGTTCAATGTTACATTTTAGAACCTCATTCCATGCTAAATAAATGTCTGTGCAGTGCAAAGCAAGATGCATGTATGCCAATAAATAAGCTTCATCTTTAGGAGTGTGGGTAATATAGAGCTAAATATGCACACTACTTATGACAGAATGCTGTTTAAATTAGTTCCTCGCACTGCAGGATCTCCCTTGAGTATATTGTGTCAAATACTCAACAACACAGATATCTGTAAGACACTAAAAAAGATCAGAGCATATTTCATTTCACACAGAACCGTTCAGAACAATACGCTTTTTGATAACAACAGGATCAGGAAACAATTGTCTCTTTGCATATGTTATATGAGGTTTAAGTTCATTTATTAAACAAGGTTTTTATCCAGTGTAAATCATAAATGATGATAAAGCTGAAATGAACTGAATAGAATTGATTGGAATAAAACTATAACAGAATGTATGTTTTGAGCACGACATAACGTTCACTCAAACAATTCTGCATTATTCAGTCTTTCACAACACCACAGATATCATAACAACAGCGTTTCAGCTCAGAGTGCTCAGGCAAACATAATGAAAGTACTCAATGTATGAAAATAGAATAGAACAGATTAGGACAGAATAGAATAGATATAACAATATATAAAAGAAAAAAAAACTTAATGATAAAAAGAGTAGAACAAACCGTAGAACAAACAGAACTGAACCTAACAGAGTTGACAGAATAGCACAGACCAGAATAGAATTTACATGAACTGATATTGTAGAATGTAGCACAACATTAAATAACAGAAGAGACAGAATAGAATAAAACAGAATTTATTGAGGAAAAGAAAGGAAAAATAGTAGTAGAGTAAAAAAGAGCACAATATAATAGAATAGAATAGATCAGGACAGAATAGAATAGATTCAAATAGATCACGACAGAATAGAATTGATTAGAATAGAATAGATCTGGACAGAATAGAATAGAACAGAACATGACAGAATAGATTAGTTTAGAACAGAATAGAATAGATCAGAATAGAATAGATCAGAACAAAATAGAATTGACATAATATAGAAACGAAAAAAACTGAATGATAAACAAAGTAGAATACACTGTAGAACAAACAGAACTGGACCTAACAGAGTTGACAGAACAGCCCAGAACAGAATGTCATGGACAGAACAGAATTTTCATGAACTGATATAATAGAATGGAGCACGACATTAAATAACAGAAGAGACGGACAAAACAGAATAAAAGAGAATTTATTGAGGAATAGAAAATGAATTGACAAAATAATAGGGCATAATAGAAAAGAATAAAATAGAATAGAATGGAATTACTGGCCAAAACAGAAATGAAAAGGGCATAACAGAAGACATTAGTCTTCCAGCATTGAATAGAATAGTACAAAGCACAATAGAAATGAACATAATATAGAAAAGGAAACAAACTATGAAAAGAACAGAGTAGTATATAGAATAGACAAAACTGAACTGGACAGAGTAGCATGAAATAGACTTTTATAGACAAAATATAACAGATTAAATTAAAGAGAGCATAATAATACAGAAAAGACAGAATAGTATAACACAGAATTCATTGGGGAACAGAATTGACAGCTCAGAATGAAATAGAATAGAATAATAGACGTCATGAAATGATCATAACAGCAGAAGCAGAGGGAGGTGGAATTGAATAGAACAGAATGGACAGCCAATAATAGAACAGAATAGAATAGAATAGAATAGAATAGAATAGAATAGAATAGAATAGAATAGAATAGAATAGAACAGAATAGAATAGAATAGAATAGAAATAATACAAAGATCAACAGAAGCAGAAGAATGAGGTAGAATTGAATATAGAAGAGAATGGACAGCCCAGAATAGAATAGAATAGAACAGAACAGAATAAAATAAAGTAGAATAAACATAATGACAATATCATAACAGGAGAGGCAGAGGGAGGTGGAATTGAATGAACAGCCCAGAATAGGATAAAACAGAACAGAACAGAAGAGGCACAATAAAAAGATTATAACAGAATAAGCAGAAGGTAAAATGGAAAATACAACAGAGTAGACAGCCCAGAATAGAATTAGAATAGAATAGACATAATGAAATGATCATAAAAGAAGAGGCAGAAGGAGGTGGAATTAAATACAGAACAAATCAGACAACCCAGAATAGAATAGAATAAAATAGAATATAATAGAACAGAATAGACAGATCGAGGCACAATGAAATACACGACAGAATGCACAGCCCAGAATAAAATAGAATAGAATAGAATAGAAGGGACAGAGTGTAATAAAATAGAGCAGAATATAATAGACAGATCAGAGAGATAAATCGCATAATATTTCATCAAGTAGAAAAAAAAAAAGATTTAGAACAGAATTTTACCAAATAGAAAATTACATAATAGATCAGAATGTAGAGCAGAAAAAAACTACTGTAAAAAAACAGCAGAATGCAGGATTGAATCATCATATAAGTGTCAATTGATCATTTTAACGAGTCATTAATGCCAAAAAACAGAATTTGAAGTTTTGCATGCGTCATGAATGGCAATCAAACAATTCTGCATTATATTGTCTTCAAAAGATCACCACAACAGCACAGCACTGAAGTACTTCAGACACAAAAAAAAATGTGCATAAACGTAAGAGCATCAACATCCTGTGCTTGTGGAATACAGATACTCTTTCTTTCTCTCTCCTTCTCAATCCATCAATCTTTCAAACGTCCTCTGGCCTGCAACTCTCAAAGCAACACCACTGCAAGATACAACTGAGACTATTGCGACTGATTAAAATTCTCTCTGTCTCTCTCTCTCTCTTTAAATGAAGCAGCTAATAAGTCAAGAGCTTCGCTGCAGCTTCATTGCATGAGCGAGAGAAAGAGAGAGAGAGAAAGGTGCTCATTATGCACTGTAGCAGGAGGGGTGAAGAGAGAGAGAGCTTTAGAGTGAACAGCGCAGTGTTTTGCTGCAGTACACCCCTGACTTTGTGCATCCCTCCAGTAAAAAGATCTGAAATGCTTCTGATTGGGTTGCTTTTAAAAGTATTAATGCACTCCGTAGCATTCTGCGCTCTCTCTTTTTTTCATCCCGTCTCTGTTCGTCCCCCTTTCTTTACCTTTCCTCCTCCTCTCCCTCACCAAACGCAGCCCCCCACCCCCACCGTCCATCCCTAGCTCTCCAATTCCGCATTCAGGAATCACAGTTCACCGAGAAGCACTCTGGAGTCCTGCATCACTCACTTTTCTCCATGCATTTCACTTTCTTCACCCATTCTGAATGGTTTGATCGTGAACACTTTTAGCTCTTTTGCATGCTGGAAACTCATTTCTAGTTGTCTGTTGTGATTCTTTTCCATGCAGACTGAAGTCAAAGTTAGTCAACTTTTGCAGAGCCGCATTTAAAAAGGCTCCAGCATGAGGAAGCCTCAAAGAAAGTCAAGATGGCACTTAAAAGGTAAGACTTTGTTTACTTCTGACAGTGAATGCACTGCAATGGAGAACTATTTCTGTTCTACACTTGCTGTTAGTTCAAACTACGCATTTAAAATGAGCTGAATCGACCCAATTCTTGAGGGTTTTTTCAATTGTTTTATGTTTAATCAACTTAAATGTGTAAAACTTAACAAGTCAACTTAACTCCTTCATGTTGTCCCGACACAGATTGATTCCACACAGTTCATTCATGTTCTCCCAACATAAATCGATTAGGATAACTTAACAAATTTAAGCAGATTGAACATAAAATAATTGAGTTGTCCCAAAAAAACCTCAAGAATTGTGTTGTTTCAGCTCATTTTAAATAAGTAGTTTGAGCAAGCAGCTAAACTAATACTTTCAGTGAGTGTATCTACACTGTGAGTTACAAATCAGGGTGTGTTTTACAAAAAAAAAAAAAAAAACATTTGCTAAATTTCTCATGCTTTATTGATTCGTTATTAAGTGCATTATGTACACTAAAATATTTTGTGTATATAGTTACATATTTGGTACATATTTAGTTACATATTTTGTACATAGTTACTATATGTTCATATTGTACATGCTGTATAGTCGCCATTTTTTAAAGACTTGTGTGGAAAATGTACAATTACAACATTAAAAGGATTGTAAATAATATAAGCAACGTACAGTGAATGATTACATGCTTTACAGATCTATCGCTTAAATTAATATTGGAATGCTGTACTTCAGGATATTTGTGTGTTTACATTAAATAATCTAACAAAAAACCTAAGATTATGGTTTAAATTTTTAAAAATATTTTTTTCTAAAAAAAAAAAAACAACATTCAAAATATTAATAAAAATGT